GGTGCAAAGCGCGGGATATCGTACAACCTATGTGAAGCGCGGGAAAACGCACTTAACTGCGGCACGCACGAGTGTTTTGGTGAATTTTACTACTGATTGGTTAAAAACCAGTAGCATTGTTCTGAATGTTTTGAGCACTGAAAAGATTTTTTTTAACCAATTAGGAATACTGCTCTAATTAATAAGAGACGTTACTAGCAATAGGCATTTGTCAGTATAAATTTACAGAAAATTAACGCTTCATGAAATTAACGCAAATTTCAAAAATGCGTTTTAATTTAAGTCGCGCTAATTAATGTTGATGTTAATTTCCGCGCTGTTAATTAAGTTGCGCGTTAATTTCCGCGACGTTAATTACCGTTATTTCCCCCCAAGTCTATGACACACTCCAGACATTCTTGACACAGCCAAACAATAAATTTTATTCGCGCACTTTACATTTCACATCAATCTTTCATATTAGTAAATCGTTTACTGTACTTCAAACGAATATTCTTCGTGTTCGCTGTCATCTTTACAATGTTAAAATAAATTTGTTCCTGCTCTCAACAAATTCTTTTATTTTTTTTCTTTTGGTGGTGAGGGGGGTAGCAGCCGCGTTAAATTCCCTCATTTTGAAATTTTACCCCCTCTCTCGCGTTAGTTTCCTTTATTGGGAAGCAGATTTACCCTCAATTCGCGTTAACTTAAGTCGCGTTAATTTCAAATACGTGAATTAACACGAGCGTTAATTTCCTATAATAAGTTACCTTCCGGCTGCAGAGCTCTAGTAATATGTACACGTGTTGATCGTCTTCAAAATGGCCATGAAAACCGACCACGTGACGTTGCCGAAGACTCTTATGAAGTTCAATTTCCGTTTCAATCTGCAAGATAAACAGTTCATTTGTAGTTCCTATAGTTAATACGTAAAAGATCACTTAAGTTATACACGAAACTTCAAGCAGTCGTGAAGAGAAATCCTGAGAAACATTTAGACTTGAATGGGGTTTGAATCCATTACGTCTATCTATAAAACTTTATGCAAATGCGGCACCCCAACATCTCCTCGATCTCACAAACTGTAACCAAGTCCATCCTTTATCCCCCTCTACCCTTTCCCCCTCCTTAGTTTTTACAAATTCTAACCATGTCCAGCCAAAATATCAATTTGGGTTGAGATGCAAGAAATCAAGACAACAATAACTTACTTAAGAGCAGCGGAAATCGTCCCTCTTATAAACAGTACTGTTGCTCACCTTGTTATACCTGTCTGCAGACTTTGTGAGTTTAGCCTTTGGTACAGCTTTCAGAGCGTAAACTTTATTGGTGGACATATCGGTGACCTCGTAGACACGGGCGAATCCACCCTAGGAAAAGAGAAAAAAGAACAATGATGCGATATCAAGTTATGTTTCACACGATGCAAGAAACACACGTATTAGCTCTCGGCGAGGTCTTGTAGATATCCATCAATCATACAAAAAATGTTCGTAGAAAAGAACAGATGTCAGAAATGGAAAAACCTTGACGAAGTTAGTAAGATAGCCCGCCAGTTTTAAGTTCATTGACATTTGAGCGCGAGATTAATTTGAAGGCTGTTTGAACGTTAAAACGGATTTGTACGCCAGATGGCAAAGCCAGCGACTTTTTTTACCGTGCAAATCTACTTATTAAGTTTTCACACCTTCAAACCGTCACATAAACATACAGATTTTTGGCTCTAAAATCGGTGTACCTTGAAATAAATGATTATACGCTTTTCAAGTCTTGTCGAGTTGCCAGCTTTTATCAGCCGCAATCAGAGTACTGGGAGCGAATTGAGATTGGTACCACAATACGCGCAATTTAACCTTACAAAAACAAAGAGAGATTTCCGCCATATAAATGGTCTCTTGATGATTGCACTTAATTAATTATAAAGTAGCTATAAAATGTGTTTTTGTGGTGTAAAAAAGGAAAACAAACTCAACACCAGCTAGTCATTTTAAATCAACACTAATTTTAGCGCACCGAAAAAAATAATCGTACAGTACTAAAGTAAGGCCAGTGACAGTGTTCTATCAGCGTGCACAAATTGGAAAATCAGTTTTAAATTTGTCTCATTCTAGGAAAACAATTTGTTGTTTAAACTTCAAGATAAAAAGGAAGTAATTAAGCTTCTCTCTGTGCTCTCAGACAACTGATTGGCGGCTTATCGCCCTTATTAGAGTAAAATTTTAAGCGTTAAAAGTTGGTGAAGAGTTCAAATTTCTGGGCTTCTACACTGTACGGTCTAAAATTTAAGTTGATTAATTGAAGTTCCCAAGGTGATTAAAATCGAATTTCTTGTAACAATAACTATACAATGTCAAGGTGACAGGTGATGAGGAAATACGAGTATCGTCAAGCAAGACTGTTTCCTTATTGGATCTCCAAATTTTCGGAACGGGCAGCGTATAATGATAAAGGTAAAACAATTAACGTGTTTGCGCTGAAAGCTTATATTCATGAAATGTTAGGGTTACTTATGGCTCAGAAAAGAATAAACTAACAAAAACACCCTATCGCAAAATGGGCGGAGAGTTTTCACTTGCACCTTGCGAGCTCTGAACAAACAAAACTGACAAATTTACGTTAAGTCGGTTTGAAAACTTATCGATTTCTGAGAAATTTTTCAAAACCAAGTGAATAGATACAATCGTTGTGGGATATTGTTTACAAATCGGTCATATTTTAGCGTCAATAATCAAGCGATTCTAATATCTAACTAGAAAACTGCGCTACATTCACAAATGTAATACGTTCAGCCATTAGTCAATAAAGCGAAGGCTCCATCAATATTTCTATTTCAGATCTTGTGGAATTATTCAAACAAGCCACATCGTTGAAAGAAAACTTACCTTGCCGAGTAATCGACCACGAAAGTAGCGTCTCCCGTTTCCGTTGTCGATTACTTTTGGAACTTCCGGTAAAGGAACATCTTTCGCTAGTCTTGACTTCTTCAACGATCGATCCACTGACGTTCTGTAAACCGCCGGCTGTGGAACAAAATTTGTCGTTAATGTCGACATTTTGAACTTCTTGATATCTTCTCTCTAGGAACGTTTTTCAGTTGTGTGTTCTCTAGAGAGTAAAGCTATTTTTTTCAAAACATGTTTTCTCAACGATCTGCTAAGGTACCTGCTGATGCTTCGCTCTGATTGGCTCGTCGACATTCCACGTCCAACCGTCATTGTGTGATGCGAACACGCATGTTTTGCGTGTTTGAAATTTGCTCGCGCACGACGCTGGTCAGATACACCCACAGTCAAATTCAGCGGTTACGCGATCACTTGCCATCAGCCTGTCTATTAAGTTAAACCCTGGCGCTTTTTTTCCATGAGACTTATTTACTTCTCTTCCGTAAATAACCTGCGATTACACTAATTTTCTAGCCCTTTTTTTAATCTTTGCTTTTACGTCGTCTCGCCAAAATCAACACCCCTATTTTTCGCGACAACGGAGAAGAGAATGCAGATCATTGGCCCAATCGCCAGTTATTTTCTAAATGTCACCAGGTATTCAGCATGCGTTAAGAAAAATTGTGGTCGAAATAAAATGTAAAGTAAACTAGTTGGCAAAAGAAAGCGCTTAAAGAAAGTAGGCAGTTTAAACTTGATCTCAGAAGCAATTGGCGAAACGTAAAGAACGGTGTGAAATTTTAATTTGTTGTCGGCTAGAGCCGTCTTGTCCAGAAATTACCTTGAATACATTGAATACACTCCACGTTTCATTTGCAACGATTTTACACAAACAGCCGTGTGAGTATTCGTGGAATCGAGGAATTCATCTACAGTCTGGTTTCCATATATTTTATCAGGAAGCCATATCAGCCTTAGCTAGTTTTCATGCAGGTCTTCTATCCTGGTCGAATTTGAATTTTTAGATATGTTAGTTTTTGTTGAGGGAGGAAAACCGGAGAACCCGGAGAAAAACCCTCAGGGCAAGGCGAGAACCAACAACAAACTGAACCCACATATGGCACCAGGCCGCAATCGAAGCCGAGCCACATTGGTGGGAGGCGAGCGCTCTCACCACTGCGCCATCCATGCTCCTCG